GGGGATTACCCCGACCCAGGTGTAGGACCTTGCACTTGGCCTTGTTGAACCTCATTAGGTTCACACAGGCCCACCTCTCCAGCTTGTCCAGGTCCCTCTGGATGGCATCCCGTCCTTCTGGCGTCTCAACCGTACCACTCAGCTTGGTGTCATCTGCAAACTTGCTGAGGGTACACTCGATGTCGCTGTCCATGTCATTGATAAATATATTGAACTGCACCGGTCCCAGTACGGACCCCTGAGGGACTCCACTCGTCACTGGTCTCCATCCGGACATTGAGACGTTGACCACTACCCTTTGGCTGCGACCATCCAACCAATTCCTTATCCGCTGAACAGTCCACCCATCAAATCCATGGCTCTCCAATTTAGAGACAAGGATGTTGTGGGGGACCTTGTCAAAGGCTTTACAAAAATCCAGACAGATGACGTCAAAAACGGAAAGCGAAAACAATGTGTTTGCAGTGTGACTTGAAGATAGCTATAGAATTTGTAACTAGCTGCTGCTTACCTGATTAGTATTTTAATCTCTATAAACATGGGTGGTAATGAAGGCGAAAGTCTGCATGCAGACAGAATAAATGTAATACCTCTGGCTGCTGTGCACGACAGACTATCCAAAGGAGCAGGATGCATGCAAAGCTGGTATAGGTGGATCATTTAAAACATTTTTAGCTAGCTAGCTAGGGACAAACCCCTTTTGTTAGAGGATGCAGTCATCATCTTTAAAACCTATATAGAGCGTAGACAAAACCAGTCGTGCTAGCCAGCAGCGCTTTAACTTAGAATTTACTTGTTCTTGGAGCTCATACCCTTCCTCATGCTGCTGCCAAATGTAGTATGTTAAAAGACATCTCTAGAAACTGCTCTAGCTAAAGCTTTCAGAAATTTAAAGTGAATGTAGTATAAACACTGAAGAAGAAAGAAAGAAAGGCAAACTATTGCTAGAATGAAGAATGAACTCTGAATTTAGCTTATGTAGCAGAGGGCTCAGATTCTCTTCTGCCTAAGAGTCTTGCGCTTATTTGCTCCCTTGAAAAGCAGAGACACAAGACCAAGCATTTCAGGAGTTAACAACGAACCTTTCATTTAGCCTCCTTAATGCAGAACTGCTGATCATGCAGGCCTTCCTTTCAAAAGATAATACAATGCCATGCCTTTTTTTTTTAACGATTGCTACTTTGCTTCAAAGAAACCCTAACAATTTAAAAGGAGAAAAAAACTGCACCTTTTTCAAGTGTTCTGAGAATCCTAGAGAGCTCCTTCTGGTGTTGCATCTCTGATACAGTGGATGACTTTAACACTTTGCTTTGTCAACTTTTTTTTCCTTTTTTTAAAAACCCTGAAGTGTCGAGAACTCTAGTTAGAATGTGGTTTCTCATCCTCCCTGAGCACGTGTGGTAGAGGGAAGGAAAGTGTCTTCCGCAACTCAGAAAAGAAGAAAGGGACAAAGTAACGAGGAAAGAGTGAGTGCCATCTTCTGTCCTTGTGTGTGAAGGGAGAGCCAACAGACAAGAGCAGGTCTCTGTAATTTTATTCTCAGTACTTACACAGTCACTGCATCGTGCTACAAGTTATTAACTCACAGCATCCTATTGCATGTTATTAGCTTTGCACAAACCTAGCAGAAAGGAACATTCTGCTTATGGTCAAACCATTGCCATCAACACCTGCTACTACCTGAAGGACAAACCCCTTTTGTTAGAGGATGCAGTCATCATCTTTAAAACCTATATATAATTTCAGTAATCTTTTCCTAATGCTTCAGATGCATGTATTGAATTTGAAATCATTTACAGTTAGTCTTACAAAGTTCTGCTTGTTTTTCTTCCAAAGAAAATAGCAGCATATTGCAAAATAGGAAGGTCCTGTAGCAAAATACGTAGTTATTACTAAATAATTAATCAAAAATGTTTTCTAATTATGACAGCCCTGTTTCATTTTGTTGCATATAACATGTGTTGCAGAACCGACTCAGACAAACTCTGCACAGGTATATTCACAAAGGTCAAGCAAAAATCTTCTGTAGTACCAAGTCAAGAAAGTTGGTGCTGTTTGGCAAAGAATTATTAGCCTCTTTGCCATTTTCTGATCTGAGCTGACTTGAAGAGGAAGGTGGATGTGATCCCTAAGCACTTGTCAGTTTGCATCCTCTGCCTCCTGTGTTCATGCCGCCTTCTTGTCTCCTGACTCAACTTCAGATTGGAAGATGAGGCACGCAGAGTTTACGGGAAAGTGTATACGAACAATATCACAGAACTGAAGTTCAAAAACCCCATAGCCTAACATCCAGAACAAGTAAATCGTGTCTGTGCTAAGTTTCAGTTAATTAAAGAAATAGTCTATCACTGTAGTAAAATACACAAGGAGGTTATCACTTCTATAGACCAACATTCATACTCTAATCTGCTTGAACTAATGTGCAGGGGCTTGCAAGAAGAACAAAGTTGATGCAGCTTGTCCTGTGGCAAGTACTGAAAAGCCAGAAAGAGCAACATTCAAGCAGATCTCCTTTGAAGTGCCCCGCTGCACATGCTGACTGCCTCAACAATCAGGAAAAATGAAGACTAGGAAGAGAAGGAAAAATACATCCTTCTCACTGATGTCTGTGACAACCGTTATTTAAGAGTGGCTCTTTTCAGCAGCATTAAAGTTTGTTCTCCTGGAAAAAGCTGTTAGTAGTGAGAGATAAAGCCCACTATTGTGCAAGTTCACCATATAAAATGTGCACTGGGAATACTTTTGAACAGTTTAATCCTATGCACTGTTTTTATAGTGTGGTCCTTTGTGTAGCAAAGTACGTATAGACACAGTCTCAGCTCAGCATAAGATCATGAGCTGGTTACACCAAAACTGTATCCCTACACAGCAGCTCCTGCCACACCAGCTTCTGTGTTGAGCCACTGCTTACTACTGTTTTGTTCTGCGCGCAGAATTCTAATCAGGTATTTGAGTGATGAAATAAGCATCTGGTGCCAATAAACACAGTTCATTTTAAGTAGTGTTGTCTTAAATGTTTCCATTTATTTTCTAGGTATAAAAGTTCCCATGAGTATACAAAATTATTTCCAGTGTGAATTGGCTACCTCGTTGTGATATTAAGCGATTACTTTGATTAGACCTTCTCTTTGCTGTTCCACTGATGACTGACAATTTCAGTTACTGCACTACAACAAAAAGAATGCCAGTTCATTTGTCTGGCCACTTAACTGTATGCACATTAGTTGTGAGCATAGGTGCTGTCAATTATTCCACTGATGAATTTCTCGCTATCTATTATAAAATCTGTATTTTTATGATACCGTTAGTATCAGTTTTCTTCCCTGCTGAGTCTTTGTACTGAAATAGTCATTGTAAGATTAAAGAAAGTAATGCAAAATTCAAGTTTTGAATGTATTATCACCTTCCATGGAGTAGATAAAAGCAGCTGTTAATACTTTTGGACTGCCATCATTGCACAAGGACTCTTTTCAGGGTCTTGCCTGTAAACTACTGCAGAGTAGTTCAGATTCTTCAGTACTTCATTTTACAGTTACATTGCTTCTCACTCAAGATGCTAAACTGCTTCAAAACAGAACCCAGTGCAATTAAGGACAGGCTCTGGCATAGCAACCTTCATGGGCAATTCTTATTTTCTCCTTGAAGCCTTGGCTTGCACTCAGCTATAGGTCTGAAACTTGATGAAAAGGCAGAGCTGTTTTATGTAACTTACCTTTACTATAACACAGCCATCTTGTTCAAGAATCACGCACAGTTTTATAATTGAAAGTACCATACTACTTTGAGGAAAAAAATGGGTGTACATGTCCCATGAATCAGGCACAATTCAAATTCCAAACAATTTTCAAAATTGTTTTTAAATAATCACCTTGGTATTCTCTCTCCCTCTAACACAGTCCACTGTTTTTTAATTAGCCTTGTGTTTCTAGCATCTAAATGACTAAACCCAATATTTATTCCTCTACTTATCCATTATGAATACAGCCCATTACGATTTGGAATACAGCTACTCTAGATGCAGAAGTTGTCAAAATGCATGAAAGAATATTTAAGACATCTTAAAACTTTGATGCCAATGATATAGTGCACAGTACGCATTTGACTTAAGAGTCTGAACACCTTACCTTGTTCATTCGATTACTGTATCTAACCTCAAAATGAAATAGACCAATACTCAGGCTAGAGTAGATTTGGCCACATTTGCTTACAAAATACATCACTAAACTTGAACGCAGCAGAAGTATTATCCTCCCCTTCCAAACTGGCAGAAAGTACTGTCCACCTTCCACCAACTATAAATTCAGCTTGAAGTTACTGGCCTAACATTGGCATTTTCCCCATCCGTATTTCTTACAAGAACTTGCAGCAGAAATAGTGCAAAATAGCAAGATCTGTTGGAATAGGCAGAAAGAAATTCAAACTTTAATCTGATTGGTTTAATTTTTTTTAGCAGGAGGAAAAAGAATAAAGTTACAAGATTCTTTTAATATTTTCACAATGTTAAACTAAAACTGAGCTCTAGGCTACATGTGTAAGTAAATCTAGAACACAAAAGGGTTAAATAAGATCTTCTTTTAAGATACAAGAACTTAAGCTTTCTTTACGTTTAACAAACTTCACAGAACAGATACTGCAAAGGAACAACCCCCTCCCCAACTCTTTTGTTTAAAGTGAACATTGTCCATTATTCACATGAACTTTAACTAGTGTTCTCTCAAGAGCCACCTTGAAACCATCTGTGCACTTGTAACGAGGTTAAAGAGAATATTAAGGAGGAACAAAACAGCATCTTCAGTATTAATGCAGAAAAGCCTCGTGTATCAGTCTGAATGCCCATCAAATGCTATGATAGGATTTTGCAGGAAAAGAAAGTGCGTATCACAGCAGCCGCCAAAATCCATGTTTTTTAAACTCCTCACGGCAAATGTAAATAATATCCTTGGACAGTCTCTCTCACCAGGACCATTTCCTGAAAAAGCAGCACATTACAGAAGATTTTGCTGCTGGTTTCATATTCTTGAATAATAACAATAATAAAAAAAACAGCTTGCCTTTGGGATAGCTTGCATTTTATAACGACAGGACACTTCTGATTTGCTTCATGGTTAATTAACGCTAATACAGTCAGATGCTGAGTGTGTGTGTGGAGATATATATATATATTCTTTTTTTTTTTAATTAGTTGTCTCCTTGTTAAATGCTCCTAGCTGGCTATCAAAGTAACAATGTAATTTGGCCTATAAGGAGTTAGTTACCTGTAACAAGTAGAATGGAAGATGACTCACACGAGATTACTCCCAAAATGCTGGGGTTTTCCAGGTGAAACGTTACTTCACCCCTCTGATGTTCTGTATCTGCCCAGTATTTGAAGATGAGGCAAAATCTTTCCTTCCCTCAGGTTTTCTTACAAATTTACCTGATTATTAATACCTTACTAATAGACTGAGAAGCTAAATTCACTCAGGATTAAAGCTGGGCCACATCGGTACAAACCCTTTTTACCTGCATAAACCCCATGTGCAGCAGGAGACATGCTGACCATTACGTTTGCTTTTTTGTTTCCAAACTGACAAGACTGGTGCAATTCTGTTCAGCTCGGCTCAACGTGACATACCGTAATACAGAACCATAGGTCTAACCAGATCCAAAACATACTCCATGTAATGCTTTTCGCATTCACTTGCTATACGTGCTTTGCAATAGATGCGGGCAGAGATTTTCGTGAGAGCGTTCGGCTGCATAGAAACAGGGCTGACGTAGCCCGTCTGATTATCTCATTGACACTCTGGAAGCGAGGAACACAAACTCAATCTGATAAAGGGTGTTTTTACCGGTTGTTCCCCAATACTGTTACTGAATTCCGTTTGCTACAAAATGTCCTTTTTTTCCCCCCCAATATATAAGTCTAGCTACAGAAAGTCAGTCTGTAGAATCCAGCCATGGCTACTGTGCTGTGAATTAGCCTTATTTGATCAATTATCAGATACCTGCACTTAGCAAAAGGCAAACAAGAGCCAATCAGGTTTCGGCCGGTGGGAATGGCTGCACTGCTCAAGATATGTGGCATCTGTTCACACAACTCGTAGAATCTCTGTGGATGCCATGTAAAAAGTATGCACCATTTACTGCTCTGGGATGGAGCTGACTTTAACGTGAGATCATAATTTAACTGAGAAGAAAGCAAAAAAAAAAAAAAAAACAACAAAACAACAAACCCTGATAGGTTCTTTATAGTAAGATAGATATAAAAATTTTTCATAAGAATCTGTGTTCCCCTTTCTTTTTGGCTTCCTGGGAAGAACCAGAAAGATGTTCCTACCCCAACAGAATCCCTGATGCTGGTGACACTGCCTAACTCAAAAGCCACACGCAATGAAGGCACGAGTGACCAGTCAGGTCTTCTGGGCTTAAGCAGCTGCAGTTGCTGCTCTTAGTATTTCACCTCCTCAGGATTCACTAGCAGTGAAGAGGTGAAAGGCTGCACATTAAACAGTTTGTCTGAAAGCCATGTGCATAGCAAACTTTTACACCAGCTTCTATACAACTATTTGTTTTAACTGTACAGCTGGAATGTTTCCAGCGTAAGGCTTTTAGAGTGACTCCAGCAATAACAGAAGCCTTTGGATTTTTCTTGTTTTGTTTAAATCCACTAGCCATGCTCAAAAATAATATTTCTTCATGTTTTATTTTTATACGGTGGCTAGCAGGCACCTTAGTAACAGCCAGAAATCAATTTCAACCACCATCAATCCCTAAACTACAGTACCAGGACGGTTGGCTAAAGAAAGGAAACTGATTGGCTGTAGTCTGAAACTTGCCTAGTACAAGGTGTCTGGCTGACTTTGTCCTAAATAAGGCTAACATTAGTGAACTAAGAGAACAGCATTTGGTTGCAGTCTTGCACTCAGGAACATCCTTCGCCAATGCGTTGGCAAGATCTCCCTACTTTCCGATCCAGTTTCACCATTTTCATAATGGCTTCCTCACGCCCACGTCCCATGTGGTCAAATGTGCAGTCATGTTGTTCAGGCAGGCGATGTAACATACAGAACACATAACCTACCATGGAAAGGGAGAAAAAAAAATACAGTTAGCAAGTTGGTTACAGTGGCAGAACCTTACCCGAATCGCAACTGAAGGATCACCTGCTGAGGGATTACTCAATTCTCAAAAATGAATGGCAGCTTTAAGTTTTTACTTATCTTCCTTATAGGGTATTAATAAATACCTGATTATTTACTGCATTTTCTTGAGTATTTACCAACACCATATCAAAGCTCAAGTCATATGAGGTTTGGGGCTTTTTTGTCCGTCCTTTCATCTTACAGAGAAAGCCCCCAAAATTGTCTAAACCAGGTATGCTCAGATAGTAACAAAGCTAATGTTTGGGGGGGGGGAAGCTGATCACCTTCATTGAAATCTTTTCTACTTTATGTGGAGTTGGTTGGCATTTCTGACATTCATGCACATGGTACTTCAGATTTAGCTCCCAAGCAGGCATTCAAGTCAGAACTGTTAAATCTAAGCACCTTGCTTCCTCCTTATTGCCAGCACCCCAAGCTGGCAGCGACTGCGGGAGAGTTCACTGCTCCGCTACTATTCCAGTTTTCAGAAGCTTCTCTTCATGAACTAAGCATGAGGGGAACAGGCATTTGACACAGGGACAGGTCATGCCACATCATCTTGCTCTGCAGCTGAAAAGATGTAGATTATTGTCTCTTTGTCTATAGCTAGTCAATGTTATTGAGTTTTTCAGGGCGCATGCGATTCAGAAACACATAGCAATACTTCCTCCTGCGGGTGAGGAGGGCATCTTCAGTAGTCACCTCTTTCTAGTTTACAAAGAAAATCAGCTTTTTTCTTATTTGGCCCTAACACTTTGTTACAGTAAAGAAATTGCCTCAAATTTCCTACCTCTAAAATGAATGTGATAAGGAGTATTAAGATTATATAGTAGGGAGAAGAGTCACACAGTTACAGAGTTCATGTAGTCCACTGTATATGAAATGAAGTACAATATTGGCTATGCTGCAATATTTTTCCTGCCTGATGGTGCAAAGAGCATCACTCTGCCTCTCACTGAATGCTTTACGTTACTGCTGCTCCTTGAATGCTCAAAAGATATTAAAACCACAAAAAGATATTTGAGAGATGGAAAAGGATAAAAATGAGTTAATGATAGAGTGTGTGTGTGTGTGTGTGTGTGTGTGTGTGTATACACACACACAAAAATGTGTATAAAGTATTTCAAGCTCCTGGACTATAAAACATCAATTGTAGGAGCGAACAACAGGCTACCTTTATGTTAGTGTGATTGTTGAGAAAAAAGAAAGGGAAAAAGTATCACACATGGGGGAAAAAAAAAAATGTAAAGAAAAATTGATTTATCTTTGCTCTTTGTTTCAACAGCACCAGCTAAGAAAAGACATGTCTATTATCTGCGGCTGGCTTTGCAACCCAGTTCCAGCAACAAAACAAAAAAGACAAGTTTTCTGTATTGGTATATGTGATTCAGAAATGCGGATGGAAAGATGCAGACTGAATTGATATATATCTCACCCCTTGTGATCATTGCCACCACTTCAATCTCAATCTGGGTCATACCACACTCAAATGTGACAAATATCTTTCTAGAGGTGCCAAAAATTCAGGGTCTGATTGTTAAAATGAAAATATCCTTACACTATAGTTTCAATACTGAACAGGCATTTCACTCAATTCTCTCTTACAGAAAGCAATGACTGAAGGCTTCCCCTATTTCTTGAAATAAGATTTTAAATTACTGAACCAACGTCCACTGCAGGCACAAGAATACATAAATATTTGACGAGATGAGCTCGAAAGTCAAGTTCATCATCTTATCTGGAGTGGATGTGTAAGAAGCAGATACAAGAAGCCATGCAGATATGGACTGGGCTGAAGTCGTTTCAGTCCATTGCAGGTAAAAAAATGGTTTTAATTCCTGATGGTTTTACAGATCCTCTCCATATGGTTAACAAGCATATGTAGAAATGCTATTTAATGTTATCTAAAAGAGATCTTGCACACGTATACAATCTTCTGCATTGCTTCAGCAAGACCCTTTTGACAGTTCTGTAAATCTAATAAGAAAACACATATACAAAATTTATCACTTTTGAACACGACTTTTCAGTTGCCCTATTTTCCTCACCCTCTACGAAGCCTCCTGTCTTTCGTAGACCAGTGATGTAGACTTCATGATGTTCCTTTCTACTTTGCCACCCCCCAAATACAATCTGTTCTGTGCTTTGCCATATCTTTATTTCTTTTTTGAACACCTTTTAGTGCTTTTTAGAGCACCTGTTTTCATGTAGGAAAAGCTGTACTGTATGCTATTTTTACTTCAGATGAAACAAATTATTTATTTTTTCTGTTTGACAAGTATTTCCTTATGCATTCTTGAACAGCATTTCAATAACTGTACACAAAGAATGGTAGGTGGTTTTCATTTTCCCAGACTATGGGAAAAGTATTTTTCATTTCAGCAACTAAATGACCTAAACCTGTTATTCATATATCTATTTAAATATGTACTACTAATTAGAACTGACAATACCTAATGAAAGAATACCCAAGCACATTTTGAACATTAATAAAATAGTTTTGCACATATTCGCTGTTCTTACGGAGGGGATTTATTCTTGTTGAATTAGTAAAAGGGATCTTCTGGAAGTCCCATTTCCAAGAGAGACTTCAGAACTTTAGTCCCACTGCTCCAAACACCTACATCACTTTAAAGACTGGAACTTAAATTTTTTGTAGGTTTTATTTAAAACTTAAAGGACTTGCATACTGTTATATAGTAGCTAGTTGAGTAACAGCCATTCAGAATATTTTTTCATTAGTTCAGAGTGGATATATTCAATTATTACTGCTATATGCACTCCTTGCTTCTTCCCTGGTCTGGAAACCAGGGCAGACATTCTGTGGTCTGCGTGTGCACAAGTCCCTGATGTCGTACCAAGACCATGAGTATTTGTAACAGTTCCATTATTAACATATGTGCACTGGGGCAGAAGGCCAATATAGGTACTTTATTTTGATCCTTAAAAACAATCCGGATTTTGAGGTGAAACCTTTTCTCCTGAGAACTCTGCTTTTATAGTTATAAAGCAAATTAGATTAATGAGCTCTTGTGGTGTATTTACTGTGAAGTTCATTATGGGAAGATTTTAAATACAGGTTGTCTCCCCTAAAGGATTTTACTACAGAAATGCTTCTTTTAGCACACTATAACTAAAAGACAAAATAAATAAATTTCTGCTAGGGGAAGAGCATTGGAAAAGGGAATCTATCTGTCAACTAAAGTTAGTTTACCCTAGTCATCAACCAAAAACATGTCAGACTTCCACTCCAAGCATACAAGATTTCAGTCTAGAAAACGTAATAATACATCTCGCAGCATTGCAATTGTTGTTTTCTGATGTTACAAGTAAACTATGAATCACCTACTCCTCAGGCCTCTAATGCAAACATCTTGGAAAAACATCTTGTAGTGCCTCAGAACCTTTGAGCTCCTCTAAGCACCCCAGAAACTACTTCACAGTATTTCAGAAAACGTTCACTTCCATTTCATCGCCAGAGCACAAATGGCTGAAGCCATAAAACAGTGTACCATCTCTGCCTTACTTGTAGCCATACAGATGAGTATTTTGCATAGGACGTGTAAAAACACATAACTCGAAGGAAGTCTAAGATCGCACACAAGCAACTGTGAAGTTGCTTTCATCATTCCCGAGGAATCTGCTGGGAAAAGGCAACTGGAGAGGACAGAAAACAAATTATTCTTCCATATTCAAGACCAGAGAATACCACAGACCTACAGTTTGCTGTGTATGGGTGATGATGAAAAATGACTGCATTTTCCTCGTTATATTCAAGAGCACTGGCTAGATGGGAGTATGGAATGACAATAAGCAAATATTTCAACTAAAACATACATTTCATTCTTAACTTTCATTCTTCGAATTCTGAAAACAGTAAGCTGCTAAAATACTGATAAAAAGATACGTGAAGCATCAGAAACAATTCAACTAAATGGGATAATAATCCACAACACAAAGGCCAAATTGTAATTCTGGAGGGTCCCTTGTTTTACTAAATTTCTTTTTCTCTTTGCTAACTGAACAGAAAGTGGTCAGACTTCCTGGAACATGGCACAAATGCCCAATGATGGGATTACTGCAGACTACCAATGGAGAAGCACAGCACACTGGTGGCACTACTCTGATGGACGTCCTTGGCCAGGCATGGAGTAGTCCCAGACTCTTCTAATGTACCGCTGGAGAATATGACACTGTTATGCAAGACATACAATAAATATAATGATCCCTGTTACATGAATAGCACTATGATAAAAAGGAAGCTCCTTTTTCTCCCACCCTGAGATTCTGGTCCTGATCTATTGATGAGACATTCAGAAAGCTGCTGAAAGAAGACAGATTTGTTTGTTTGGTTTGTAAGCATGTTTTGAAACGTGGTGGAAGTGCCAAACAAGTCTGTTAAATATTTATACAGCTTACACACAAAGTGACTTAAAAACATTTAAAAGTGTCTGTATTTGAAACATCTTGATGTGCATTGCCTAAAAAGTAGTTGCATGCTGCCACAATTACCCTGATATTCAGTATATTCATACTTCTGTGTTTTGAGAATAGAGAGCATATTTGGACTTTGCCATACAGTGAATGTGGCACACGGTTAACACGGCAGTTCCATCTACTGAAGAAAACTGAACCTCGCTTATGTAGAGGTATGTTTTTGCATTTCTGAAAGCTAAGCCATTTGAGTATCATTGCTGACATGAAAAGACAAAGCCCTTCATTACCAGGTACCATCAATCATCTTAATTGTTCAAGCTAGACATTTATGTTTTCACTGCATGCAGTAACTGCTCTGAGTCTTGCCTTCCATACTACAGTGACCCCTTCTGATTCATACAAAGGAGCTCCCATTGGTAGGTAAGGAAAGGGGAGTCAGTATGACCATAGGGAATTAGAGCTTCTGACACTTCAACATCACCTTACCTGCTCACTAGT